TTATGAATCCAGTTATCATAAAAATAACATTCTTTTAAAAAAAAAACAGGTTTGAGTTAATCTTTTTATTTAATACTTGTTTAATAAACTATTTAAAATGCATATACTGATAATACTTGCGAAAACGTTATAGAATAATAATGAATTCTAAAGACAATTTGAATAAATAAAAATAATAAGTTTAATGTTTAAATACATTGAGATATTAAATTAAAAGTTTTAGTAGCGTAATCAGTAATCGAGTAATAAAAAATTAAAATTTCATTTTTTTCAAAGTAAACTTTAGTCATTTAAACAAACAGCAAAATTATGTAATTTCTTTTAAATAAACTTTTATAAACTCTAATTTTTTAAACTCTTTTATAAACTCTAATAAAATTAAAATAATTTAATTATTAGATATCAATATCACAAAAATAAAAATTAATACTTCTTGATTTTTAATGACATATATTATATATATGTATATATACACCATGTAAAAAAATCAATGTTGAATAATTATGAATAAACTAATACTCATTGCATTTATAGGTTCCTTGAAATTCAAACGAAGAACAAAATGCCATAAAACTTATGGAATAACTGTTGGTACTTACAAGTTACAGTTTCCAATTGCGAATATAATGAGAATAAACGTAAAACTTGTTTCTTTCATATTTATGCTCACTATAGTGTCACTAGAAGCACAAATAAATTTTATAGCAGACTTCTTTTGGAAAGGAATGCTTAACTACGTATTTCCTAAAATTAACTACGTATTTCTAAAGATCCTGGTATAGTGATAGTAAGGAAGCCAGAAGATGTCAAAACAGAGAACAATGTAACCACATTAGATTTTGTAAGTGCAACACGTATTATAATATTTTGTTAATTAACATTTAATTTTTTAAATATTTATCTTAAAGGCACACTTTAAAAAATAATAGCTCAATTAAAAGATTATTTAGTCAAAACAATCTTTTTAATAGAAAAAAATCTTGATGTATTAATGATTATATAATACAACAAGGTGTTTTATAATCAATAGCGATACAGTTATCAAAATATCTTTGTCCAAATATACTCAGTATACATTGTCTGAATAAAAACATCTCAATTCAATCTGAATTAAAAAATGTGTAAAACAATTTCGAAACTGTTAGAAAATAAATACTCTTAAAATTTTCTTTGATTTGTCTTTTTTATTTAATTGTTTCATGTTATTTTACATATTACGCAGATCGGTTTAGTAGAGAGATATGGCTACTTTACCGAAGAGCATTACGTCACAACGGAAGATAGTTATAACTTGATAATACACAAAATGTCAAGAAATCTTTTATCTAAGAAGCGACAAAGAAAAAAAAGTTGTATTCTCTTCAACACGGTATCTTGTGTTCATCTGATTCCTGAGTATTGTTTGGTTTTAGCAAAGACCTTGGTGAGTGATCGTCGATATATGATGCGTCGGTTATTAGGTTAATCAGATTCAAAATTATTTTGTTATATGTATATAACTTCTTGATAAAAGATAAACATTCTTTTGTCCGCCACTGTATATTATACAGAAAGTAATGTAGACAAATTAAAGAAACTACAAATAATATAAACGAACGGCAGAATTTTCTATATTTGAAGTCACAATTCTGGACACAATATGCACAACTAAACGTGTAAAATTTTCATTGAGTATTTATAGAAGCAATCACTGAAAGAAGTAATTTTGCAATTATAGCGAGAATTATTTAGGTACGAAAAATTAGCTAAAACGGATGAGTGATTAGTAAGCACTGCTATACCACATATGTATTGTATTTAATCAATATAGCTAATATAGCTAAAAGAGAGATCAATATAGCTAACAGAAATTATATCTGAACTATTTGTCAAATTTAGCAAGAAAGTTCCTCTATGACATTTAGTCAGTCCAGACTTCAATCCACACTTTAATTTTATTTGATTATGAGACCTATATTTTCTTGTATATATTCTTAGAACATTGCTGCTATAAATTCTACGTATGACAGACCATTTTTTAGCAGATACAAAAAACAGCGACGTAATTTAAGTGTAATATTTAGAATTCTGGCTGGAATAGCCAGAAACATTTCCCTGAGTAAACAAGAAAACACTGAATAAGAATAAATATGTTGTATCAAGATTTTTTCGTTTTTGTAAGCAATTGTCCATGATTCAATGACTGTCAGACAATGATCGATTATTCATCAAGAATCGAAGTTGATCATTGTCTTTAATTTATGTTCTTAGATAAAAGATTGTCAAGTATGCCAGTGAAGTGTCGTAAAGTTCAATATGATCTTGAAAAGATCGATTATTACTGTTTCGCATAATATATTTGTTTGAGCACAACACATTCAATGCGGTATAATAGTTTTAACTTATCCGTTGTATCTAATAGTTAATGTTTTTAGATTTTAAAGTCAGAACACGTTAGAGATAAAATTTATTGATGAAATTTTATGTTTTTAGTTTAACAGTTATAGTTTAAAGTGTTTTAATTAAATTTATTGGTGAGTTATTACATTATTATATTAATATGGTGAGTTAATACATTAATATATTAATATGAGACATGTGTAAAAAATGGACAATATATGTAAGTTATAGAGCATACATACAATAGTTCTTATTTCCTCATTTTCTAATAAAACTTGATTAAGTTATTGACAATATTTGTAACATAAAATATTGCTAATAACTTAATAAATAAGAGAGAATTTAATTGTTGAAAAGTACTTTAAAAAACCTAAAACATCTTTGAAAATACGTATTGTAAAGTCTACAAAGGTAAAATCTGTAAGATATAAAATAATAAAAAGCAGACGAATTATTGCATCTATATTAAATTTCAGAATTTGTTTAAACAAACTTCCAGTATATATTTCGTGAACATTATAAAATCAGAAGAATAAAAAATATAGAAATGTAATATGCGCTCTCATATTCATTTATATAAGCACATGTATACTTTGTGCACGTATGTTTGTAAAATTACAAGTTGATTATACAAGAAATGTATATTAAATATAAATATGTTAAAAATAAACTAATACTGCATTTATAGGTTTCTTAAAATGTAAACAAAGACAAGTCTCATAAAATTTATATCAAATAATATTATTGATACTTACAAGTTATAATTTACAATTCCGAGTATCGACAACATAATGAGAATATACATAAAACTTGTTTCCTTCATATTTATGCTTACTATAGTGTCACTAAAAACACAAGTAAATTTCATGGGAGACTTACAATTTTTTTGGAAAGGAATAGTCAACTATGTGTTTCCTAAGAATTCAAATGTAGTGAGAGTAAGGAAGCCGGAAGAAGTCAAAACAATGAACAATGTAACCTTATTGAATTTTGTAAGTGCACCAAAAGTGTTTTTTAGTATTTTATAAATTAATTTTTATTCTTTTAATATCTTTTTTAAAAGCAAAAGTGGGGGAACTAGCAGTCCATATTTATTTAATTAAAACATAGCGCAGGCGCAGTAGGTAGCTCTCCCCAATCCCGTGCACCGATTGGCGGAGAGCGTGAAGAAAGAGAAGCGACAGAGAACAGTCAAGAGACGAAGGAAAGCAGTCTTGAAGAGCTTGATAAAACGGATAGTCGGAATTCGCATTTTGGTCTGTACAGTAAACTCGGTTTGAAATAAAGGGTGCAATACGAAACGAGTGAACTAAATTACCTTCCCAAAGATCCTACAAATAATACAGAGTTGCCTTTCTGCCATTCCTCACAAAGAACCGCTAATATTCAAAGTAAGAAGAGTAATCTTACAATAAGAATAAATAAACAAAGATTTTTTTATTTGATCTAAGCAATCGCTCATGATGATTCAGTAATGATACTGTCAGTAATCAGCTATTCATCAAAATCTAGTTTAATTTATAAGCTTCCTAGAATAAAAGTAGGTTAGCTGAGGTATGTAAATAAAGTATTGTGATATTCTACACATACAACCTTGACCATTTATATAATGATCGATTGTATTGCTGTAAGTTGACATTTTCGCATAATATATATACTTGTACTTTGAACGCTTCTCGTTCAATAGTCCAACATATTAGCCGTATTTATCAATTGTTTTTAAATTACAAGACAAAATTAGAACACGAACATAAAGGATATCTTATTGCTTCCTCATTAAATTTTAGTATCAGTTTAAATAAATTTTTATTTCGTCTTTTATAAACATCATAAAATTAGAGGAATAAAAGATATAAAAAAAATGTAATACGCGATGTCACATTCGCATCCATACATACGCACGTGCGTGTCAAAAAATATCGAGATATTA